AAGTTTCTGTGGCCCTAAGTAACAATTCTCTGGCACTCAGTAACAATTCTGTCTGTCCCTGAGTAACAATTCTCTGGCACTCAGTAACAATTCTGTCTGTCCCTGAGTAAAAATTCTGTGGCCCTAAGTAAAGTTTCTGTGGCCCTGAGTAACAATTCTCTGGCACTCCGTAACAATTCTGTCTGTCCCCTGAGTAACAATTCTCTGGCACTCAGTAACAATTCTGTCTGTCCCTGAGTAAAAATTCTGTGGCCCTAAGTAAAAGTTTCTGTGGCCCTGAGTAACAATTCTCTGGCACTCCGTAACAATTCTGTCTGTCCCCTGAGTATGAATTCTGTGGCCCTAACTAGCGTTTCTTTGTCCCTAAGTAACAGTTCTGTGGCCCTGAGTAACAATTCTGTGTCTGTGCGAGTAACAATTCTGTGGCCCTAAGTAACAGTTCTGTGGCCCTCAGTAACATTCTGTGTCTGTGCGAGTAACAATTTCTGTGTCTGTGCGAGTAACAATTCTGTGGCCCTAAGTAAAAGTTCTGTGGCCCTCAGTAACAATCTGTGTCTGTGCGAGTAACAATTTCTGTGTCTGTGCGAGTAACAATTCTGTGGCCCTAAGTAAAGTTTCTGTGGCCCTAAGTAACAATTCTCTGGCACTCAGTAACAATTCTGTCTGTCCCTGAGTAACAATTCTCTGGCACTCAGTAACAATTCTGTCTGTCCCTGAGTAAAAATTCTGTGGCCCTAAGTAAAGTTTCTGGGGCCCTGTAACAATTCTCCCTAAGTAACAATTCTCTGGCACTCAGTAACAATTCTGTCTGTCCCTGAGTAAAAATTCTGTGGCCCTAAGTAAAGTTTCTGTGGCCCTAAGTAACAATTCTCTGGCAAGTAACAATTCTGTCTGTCCCTGAGTAACCTCTGAGTAACAATTCTGTCTGTCCCTAAGTAAAATTCTGTTCTAATTCTGTGGCCCTAAGTAACAATTCTCTGGCACTCAGTAACAATTCTGTCTGTCCCTGAGTAACAATTCTCTGGCACTCAGTAACAATTCTGTCTGTCCCTGAGTAAAAATTCTGTGGCCCTAATAACGTTTTCTGTGGCCCTAAGTAACAATTCTCTGGCACTGAGTAACAATTCTGTCTGTCCCTGATTATGAATTCTGTGGCCCTAACTAGCGTTTCTTTGTCCCTAAATAACGATTCTGTGGCCCTCATTAACAAGTCTGTGTCCCTGAGTAATGGTTCTCTGTCCCTAAGTAACTTTTCTCTGTCCCCAATTATCGTTTCTGTGGCCCTAACTCTGTCCCTGTCCCTAGTACAGAGCGGTCTGCCTCTGTTCAATAACTGCAGGCAAATGAAGAATTCCAAAATGGCCGCTATTTATAGCTCGACCATTACACAGTGCTGGCTGGCTGGCTGCTGATTGGCTGATGCGATCACATGTAGTTGAGGAATGCATTATGGGTCAGCGCGCCTTGTCTGCGCGCCTTCCCAGACATCCCCGCTCCGTCGCCGCACATGTCAGCCGCCATTTTCTGAAAAATTTCGATTCGATTCGCGCGTCCGAATTAGGCGCTCATCTCTACTAGCTGCTACCTTATGCTCTGTCTCACTTATCTTAATTCCTCTACACTCTTTCTTACCGTCGCCAGCAAAGGTTCCAGGGATATAACAAATAATAACAGGGATAAGGGGCATCCCTGTCTTGTACCATTGTACATCTTAAAAAACCTTGAGAGGGACCCATTTACCTTAATCGCTGCATATGGGCTATTGTAGAGCTTCTTTATCCAACTCATCATCTTAATCCCTATTCCCAAGGCCTCTAGGGTATTTATCATAAACCTCCAATCTACCCTGTCAAAAGTTTTCTCAGCGTCGATCAACAATAAAATTGTTGGTAACTTTTCTCTCTTTGCCTTTTGTAAAAAAAGCAATGCTCTTAGACCATTATCCCTCCCTTCCCTTCCAGGGACAAAACACATTTGATCTAAATGTATCCATTCCAGCATCAGCTCTTTTAACCTCGTAGCTAATACATTCGCAAACAGTTTATATCTATATTTAGTAGTGCTAAAGATCTATAGCTAGCGCATTGTGAACTATCCTTTCCTTCTTTTAAAATTATCGTTATGTACGCTTTTAGCGATTCTGCTCTTATTCCCATTCCCCTCTCCTAAGCTGTTCATATATGTACAAAATTTGGGGACCAATAAGTCTCCAACTTTTTTTATAATACCCCACCGTATACCCGTCAGGTCCTGGGCTCTTCCCTCCTTCCGTATTCTTCAGGGCCATGTTAATTTCCTCCTGGGAGATCGCTTGTTCTAACGATACTAATTTTTCTTCTTCTTTTAATATTTTTGGCAGGTCTGCTGCCTTTAGAAATTCCTGCTGTTTTTTTTCCCTGTTTTCTTCTTCTGTAGCTTTTGGGTTCTTAGATTTTACATCATACAGCCTGCTATAAACATTTTTAAACATTTCAGCAATATCAGTGGTCGAGTAAACCATTTTCTCCTTTTTCAGCTTTAATTTTTTCAATATAATTTTTTGATTTCTTCGTCTTAAGTCTGTTCATCAAATATTTTCCTGGTTTACTCCCCAACTGATATTTTTCCTTTGAAACCCTATTGAAGACCTTCCTTGTTTCCTGTTACAATAGGTCTTTTAACTCCTCTCTTTTAAGTATAATCTTCTAATGGACCTCTGTATCCTGTCTCTTTTTATGTGCCTGTTCTAATCTGTATAACTGTCAGGGCTCCCAGGTGTGACCAGAGGTGTGTGACTGACGCAGGGAAACGCAGACTTCAGATATGTGATAAACAATATAATTTATTAACACTAACAATACAAACATAAACGCAGTGCAATACTAAACATAATACAGTGCAAACAAACCAAACCAACCACCCACAGATAACAGTACATACAAGCAAGCGTCGTCAGGCAGGCCGGGTCAATATCAATTGGGCAGGTAGGTACAGGGGGAGCAAGCGGAGATTGGTCGGGGTCACAGGCCAGGTTCAGCAGGTAGCTAGCAGCGTAGTACAGAGGGTCAGGCAGAGGGATGGTCAGGGTCACAAGCCAGGGATCAGAACAGGTAGCAGGCAGCGTAGTACAGAGGGTCAGGCAGAGGGATGGTCAGACAAGCCAGGGATCAGAGCAGGGTCAGCAGAGAATCAGACAGGAACAGAGAGCAGGAACAGGATACAGGGCCCAAGAGAAACACAACACCAAGGCAGAGTCTGCAAGTCTGGCCATCCCCTTAAATACCCCAGCATAATCAGTTCCAGGTGTTAGCTGGCTGCAAAGTTGAGTCTCTGATTGCTGGGAGCACCCGCTGGCCAGCCCTGGTACTGCAGATCAAAAGGCAGGTGAGTCCCACCATTGCTGGCTAGTCCATTCCTGACAGTACCCCCCCCCTCAAGGAGCGGCCTCAGGACGCTCCAAACAGTCCTAGCTGGGCAAAATGTTCCACCGCCCGGGTCTGGTAACTGGCGGGATATCAAAGACTGGCACACCGGGCAGGACTCCGGGCAGCGGCACACACCGGGCAGGACTCCGGGCAGCGGCACACCGGGCAGGGCACACCGGGCAGAGGCACATTGGGCAAGGGCACACCGGGCAGAGGCACACGGGCAGGACTCCGGCAGAGGCACACCGGGCAGGACTCCGGGCAGAGGCACATCGGGCAGGACTCCGGGCAGAGGCACACCGGGCAGGACTCTCCGGGCAGAGGCACATCGGGCAGGACTCCGGGCAGAGGCACATCGGGCAGGACTCCGGGCAGAGGCACATCGGGCTGGACTCCGGGCAGAGGCACATCGGGCTGGACTCCGGGCAGAGGCACATCGGGCTGGACTCCGGGCAGAGGCACATCGGGCTGGACTCGGGCAGAGCACATCGGATTACCAGGCGAAGCAGCAGGCAGCGGGCCACCGGGCGGAGCGGTAGGCACCGGGCCCCCCGGCGGGGCGCGGCGACCCACCGGGCCCCCGGGCGGGGCGACCGGCATCGGGTCCCCAGGCAGGGCGGGGCGGGCGCCGGGCCCCCAGGCAGAGCGGCGGGCGCCGGGCCCCCAGGCAGAGCGGCAGGCGCCGGGCCCCCAGGAGGGGCGACAGGCATCGGGCCCCCAGGCGGGGCGACAGGCATCGGGCCCCCAGGCGGGGCGACAGGCATCGGGCCCCCAGGAGGGGCGACAGGCATCGGGCCCCCAGGAGGGGCGACAGGCATCGGCCCCCAGGCGGGGCGACAGGCATCGGGCCCCCAGGCGGAGCGGCGGGCGCCGGACCCCCAGATGGAGCGACAGGTCTCGGGCCCTCAGGCGGAGCGGCGGGCCCCGGACCCCCAGGTGGAGCGACAGGTCTCGGGCCCTCAGGCGGAGCGGCGGGCGCCGGACCCCCAGGTGGAGCGACAGGTCTCGGGCCCCCAGGCGGAGCGACAGGTCTCGGGCCCCCAGGCGGAGCGGCGGGCGCCGGACCCCCAGATGGAGCGACAGGTCTCGGGCCCTCAGGCGGAGCGGCGGGCGCCGGACCCCCAGGTGGAGCGACAGGTCTCGGGCCCCCAGGCGGAGCGACAGGTCTCGGGCCCCAAGGCGGAGCGACAGGTCTCGGGCCCCCAGGTGGAGCGACAGGTCTCGGGCCCCCAGGCGGAGCGGCGGGCGCCGGACCCCCAGATGGAGCGACAGGTCTCGGGCCCTCAGGCGGAGCGGCGGGCACCGCCGGACCCCCAGGTGGAGCAACAGGTCTCGGGCCCCGGGCGGAGCAACAGGTCTCGGGCCCCCAGAAGAAGCGGCGGGCACCGAGTCACCAGGCATGACAGTGGGCACCGAGTCGTCTGGCAAGACTGCGGGCACCGAGTCGTCAGGCAAGACTGCGGGCACCGAGTCAACTGGCGGAACAGCGGGCACCGAGTCAACTGGCGGAACAGCGGGCACCGAGTCAACTGGCGGAACAGCGGGCACCGAGTCGTCTGGCAAGACTGCGGGCACCGAGTCGTCTGGCAAGACTGCGGGCACCGAGTCAACTGGCGGAACAGCGGGCATCGAGTCAACTGGCAAGACTGCGGGCACCGAGTCGTCTGGCAAGACTGCGGGCACCGAGTCGTCTGGCAAGACTGCGGGCACCGAGTCAACTGGCAAGAAAGAACAGCGGGCATCGAGTCAACTGGCGAACAGCGGGCACCGAGTCGTCTGGCAGGAACAGCGGGCACCGAGTCGTCTGGCAAGACAGTGGGCTCGAGTCAACAGGCACGACAGTGGGCACCGGGTCATCAGGTATCGGATTGTCTGGCTCGACAGCGGGCATCGGGTCACCAGGTATGACAGCGGGCACTGGGTCACCAGGCATCAGGTCATTTGGCTTGCCAGCGGGCACCGCGTTATCTGGCAAGGCAGTGGGCACGGCTACTGACCGGGTCACCAGGTATGACAGCGGGCTCTGAGTCAATTGGCACGACAGCGGGCACTGGATCAGGTACCGGATCAACAGCGGGCATCGAGTCAACTGGCCTAATAGGATCGTCGGGCTGGATCGGTTCATCATGCTGAGTAGCGGCATCAGGCTGAATGCAGGCATCAGACCGAGTAGAGGCTTCAGGCTGAGTAGAGGCATCAGGCTGAAGAGAGGCATCAGGCTGAAGAGAGGCATCTGGCTGAAGAGAGGCATCCGGCTGAAGAGAGGCATCAGGCTGAAGAGAGGCATCCGGCTGAAGAGAGAGGCATCCGGCTGAAGAGAGGCATCCGGCTGAAGAGAGGCTTCAGGCTGAGTAGAGGCTTCAGGCTGAGTCACGGAAGGCAGGTTCACCGGTTTGGATACTGGCAGGATGGTATTGGTTGGAAAGAATTTTCGCTTTTTTCTGGTTTTAACTACTGGAGCACTGCAAGTAAACACAGGTCTGCAAACGAATGGAGCAGCTGGAGACAGAAAAACTGGAGGATGGAACAGGAGAGGGAGCAGTTGCTACAGAGGGCTTTTTTACAGGGTTAAAGGCAGGATAGGTGCAGCGAGTGGGAACAGGGTACTGACATGCGGTAGATAGCCAAGTATACTGGGCTGTAACTGGAGGAGCTGGTGGGAATACAGGAGTAGAGTTAGAAGCAGGACTGGGTTTTTGTAAGCTGACTGAGGCTGGGTGCAACAAGTCTGTCCATGTCTGCAGTAGGGGTTGAACAAAGCTGAGCTTACACAAAGCCTGTCTGGTCAAATGACTGCACTGCGTTTATACAATCTCTTAGTGTCTGTGGTGAACATGTGGAATAACGCTCCAGAAAGTAACCCACATCATCCTCTAATAACCACACCAGGGACTCTACCTGGTCTGCACTAAATGGTGGCAAAAATTCATCCCTGCATTTGGGGGAACCAGATGAAACCAACTCAGCACAAACCTCAATCAAAGGCTGCACCTCAGAGAACTCTGTGCCCTGATCTACTAGAACATGAGCGAGCCGTATACATTCTAGTAGTTGATCCCTGGGATACTCCTTCAGAGTTTGATAAGCATACTCCCTGTCATCAAACACTAGCAGAGATAAATACACAACCTCATCCAGATCCATCCTTCCCAGCAACAAAGCCAAGATGGCTTCCCTGTGCAGCCACTTCTGGTCAGGATTGGCCTTGGTGTAATGTCAGGGCTCCCAGGTGTGACCAGAGGTGTGTGACTGACGCAGGGAAACGCAGACTTCAGATATGTGATAAACAATATAATTTATTAACACTAACAATACAAACATAAACGCAGTGCAATACTAAACATAATACAGTGCAAACAAACCAAACCAACCACCCACAGATAACAGTACATACAAGCAAGCGTCGTCAGAGCAGGCCGGTCAATATCAATTGGGCAGGTAGGTACAGGGGGAGCAAGCGGAGATTGGTCGGGGTCACAGGCCAGGTTCAGCAGGTAGCTAGCAGCGTAGTACAGAGGGTCAGGCAGAGGGATGGTCAGGGTCACAAGCCAGGGATCAGAACAGGTAGCAGGCAGCGTAGTACAGAGGGTCAGGCAGAGGGGATGGTCAGACAAGCCAGGGATCAGAGCAGGGTCAGCAGAGAATCAACAGGAACAGAGAGCAGGAACAGGATACAGGGCCCAAGAGAAACACAACACCAAGGCAGAGTCTGCATAAGTCTGGCCATCCCTTAAATACCCCAGCATAATCAGTTCCAGGTGTTAGCTGGCTGCAAAGTTGAGTCTCTCTGATTGCTAGGGAGCATCCGCTGGCCAGCCCTGGTACTGCAGATCAAAAGGCAGGTGAGTCCCACCATTGCTGGCTAGTCCATTCCTGACAATAACTCCTCCCATCACCTCCTTTATTTTTCTCTCCCGATCTTTCTTTTTTTTTTAGTTTCTGCGGCTATCAGGATTCCCTCTCACATACGCCTTATGTGGCTTTCCCAAATGGTGACTACAGAGACTTCCTTAGTTTTCATTTAACAAAAATAATTGCTCTAGTTCCTCCCTTAGCCTCCTCTCTACTTCAGGGTCCTGTATAAGCATCTCATTTAGTCTCCACATTGGACTTTTGTTCCCCTTCTCCTCCCACCTTTTAATCTCGCCATAACAGGAGCACGATCTGAGATAGACATAACTTCTATATTGGATTTAACCATGAATCTACAGGTGAAACTCAAAAATTTGAATATTGTGCGACAAAGTTTTAAGTATTAATTACAGTAATGCAACTTAAAAGGT